TGTTTTGAGATAAGGTCTCATGAATCCCAGAAAGGCTTGAACTTGCTGTTAGATTTGAATTTTTTTAATTTTATTTAACTTATTATTATTATTGTGTGTGTGTGTGTGTGTGTGTGTGTGTGTGTGTGGAGTATGTGTGAACATAGGCTCATGAAAGCCACAGTATGAATGTAGAGATCAGAGGACAACTTTCAGGAGTCTGTTCTCTCCTTTCACCGTGGGCTCCAGGGATCAAACTCAGGTTGCCAGGGGCTTGAGGACCCAACTCCAGCCATTTGGCCTTCACTGAGTCATTCCATCAGCCCTTCCCTCTACCCCTTGTTGTTTGTTTGTTTTTAATCACTTTTAATTTGGCTGTCCTGTCTCTCTCTTGAATTTATTTCTATATATTAGTTTCTTTTTATTTTTCATATTACGGTGAATTGGATTTGTGTTACATTTTTAAAGAGTTTTTTTTTGCGGTTGTGGTTGTGTGTACGTATGTGTGTGCACACATGCACATGTGTGTGCAGTACCTGTGCCTCAGCACGTGCATAAGGACTAGAAGAGGGAATCTGTCCTCCTCTATTCCTATTTCCATGAGGCAGGATGTCTCCCTGAACACCAGTATGTGGAATGGTCTCACCCACGTTTAGTGTAGGGCTTCTCACCTCAGTTAACCCAAACTAGAAAATACCTCACAGACATGGCCAGAGCTATGTCTCCAAGCTGATCTTAGACCCTGTCAAGTAAGCAGTCAGTATAAACTATCACACCATACAATCAGCCATTCTCCTATTTCTCTTCTGGGCTGGAAGCCAGGAAGCCCAGCTGCCCTCTTATCTCTGCCCCTCTCCATTAGGGTTCCAGGCATGCAGTAGACTCCTGTCTTATTACATAAGAACTGAGTTCCCAACTCTAGTCCTCATGATTGCACAGCAACCACTCTTAACCACCAAGCCATCTCTCCACCCTCTTCCTTTTAAAGGCTTTAAGCTACCCCTTTGCCCTTTCCAGGGCCCCTTCTCCTATCTCCTTTCTATCCTCCATTTTTTCCTGTGCCACCCAACAATTCCCTCCCAGATACTTGAATCTAAGTGACTACAGGTCTAACACTAAGGGTTCTAATTCCCGCTTGCTGCACCTTCTGGTGCCCTTGACCTTGACCCATTTTCTTTGATAAGGACAGGAAACAAGAGAACATTGCTATAATGCTTAATTTAACTTTTATTAACAAAGGAAAAAAATTCAAATTTTTAATAAAGAATATAAAAAGAAAAAACTGAAATATCCTATAGAATAATTATTGACTTGAGTGGTTTTTTTGTTCCATATGCTAAACAGAGAAATATACAATTCTAGAACATTCTTTCTTGACTTAAAAATGTAGCATTATCTTCTGACAACAGTACAAACTTTGTGATAGAGATTTTGGTTGTGTTTTCTGTTGTTCC